CTGATCAAACTAAAAAGCTTCTGCACGCCAAGAACACAGTATGTAAAGCAAGCAGATAGACCTCAGAATGGGAGAAGATATTTGCAGGTTATGTCTCTGACAAAGGTTTAATAACCAGAATCCACTTTTAACTGGCCGAGTTAAAAGCCAAATTCCAGGCTTAGCAAGAAAGCACAAAGAGTAGGGAGCAACATTACAAAACAGGGAAGGCTCTTGGGAAGAACTGACTAAAACTGGAAGATCACAGAAATTAAAATAATTTTGAGTTTGACAGACACATGATAGGAGTCCTCGGGGCGAGGTCCCTCCAAGGGTTTATGAATTTCTTCTCTCCCACACGATGATGCTACATTAGATCTCCATGGACAGCCAACGGCTATGCTTACGTCTTTCTGTGCTTCAGAGAGGAAAGGTGAGCCAATCTCAACAACTTTGTTGCATAAAACTTCAATCTTTGCAATCTGCTAAACTCAATGGGAAAAAATAAAAGGTTCATTTTCTCTTAAGCTTACCATTATCTGCTATAGTATTTGTGGGTTTCATATTAAGCCCAAATGGTTTAATTTTTCAACTAAGTAGCATCCTCTGAGGTTTGAAGGGAATTTCCATTAACATATACATCTGTTTTTTCATTTCTTATCAAGGAACTTCAGTGTACTACTGAACTTGTCACTGAATATATGAATAAGAACAGCTTCGGCCCCAACCTCAAATGCCATCCTCTTAGCTTAACCATATAATTTTGATAAGGAAATGAGCGAACAAGCATATTCCAACGGTTAAGCCCTGTCAAAACACTCTGAGGCTCCCAAACCACTGCTTGTCTCAGTGTACACATAAAATGGGAAGCCTAGACATTCTGTCATGTAACCATAACAACAAAAAGTGGTTCCTAAAAACCATTCAGGATTACGATGTTGATTCTTCAAATGGACTTGAAATATGCCCGAACCCCAAATATGCAATGGCAATTCGCTATGAGGAGTAACCCACCTGTAGTCCTGTTTTCCTTCCTTGTCTCTCATTGGCACGGTGCACCTACAATACATAGGAACACAGTAAACATCACAGCAGCACCAACTGGTAGCCTATGTGCAGGGAGGGGCTTCCCTTACCAAGAAGGGACACATGCAAAGTCAACTCTTCAGCCTTCCACGGGAGACTCAGATATAAATGCTTCAAAACATAATAACAAAGGACAGACGTGTTGAGGATAATTAAAAAGCAAAAAAGAAAAGGAGTTGCTTCAGGGCAGTGCCTGTGGCTCAAAGGAGTAGGGCGCCAGCCCCATATGCCGGAGGTGGCGGGTTCAAACCCAGCCCCGGCCAAAAACTGCCAAAAAAATTACAAATAAAATAAAAATAAAAGGGTGTATTTAAGAAAAAAAAAAAAAAAAGGAGTTACTTCAATATCGGTAGCTTTTGAAAAGCTCAAACTCTAGGCTTTTGAGCTTTCTTTCAGCATTCTGTTTAAAGTATAAAATCCTCAAATTTCTGAGTCAGAAAATTAGGATCAAAGTTATCTAAACAAAAAAAGGCAAATTATAACCAGGCCCTCGCTTTCTTCTACCTTTAGCTCAAGCTGGTAAGACTCTGATAGAATATTTAAGGAAGTAAAAATTCTTGCCACAAAGCAGGTAAGCTGGAAACAAGGGAAGGGCCAGGACCTAAGCCTGGCCCTCAGGTATTACCTGGGTCATTTCCAATCTAATAGCCCCAGAGGGCATTCTATATCCCTGTGAGGTATACTATTTTTCTAATTTTACTGATGAGGAAACCAAAGTGCAGAGAAGCTAAACACCTTAACCTCTTGTGCCCCACCTGGATGTGGTCAAGGTGCTCTCAAGGCAAACTCACCCCAACTTGTAATCAAATGAGCGTGTTTCATTCAGAATTTCACCTCCATTCTCAAGTTCTTGGATTTGCCTCTGAATTTCATAGTCTAAGAAAAACACAGTAATTTAGTAACACATTTTGATTATACCCTTCATCCAATTAAGCACTAATTACCTTTCTTTAAGTTAAATCTTTAAGTTAAAAAATAATCAGGAAGAAGACTGTTTACAATAATCTTTCCCTTATGTGCTGTATTTTCTTTTCCCTGCCATCACAAAACATTGGTGCTGGAAAAGGTCTTAGGCAGCCCATTCCTTCAGTGTTTGAGACAACCCAGGTTGTAGGGTATGCTGCCTACCAAAGATTCTCATCCTGGAACCCATGGGTGGGCTTCAAAAGGTGCTGGTACCCCCAAAATCATGTATGAAATGCAGATGTGCGAGTATGTACACCTTTGGGAGAGAGGGTGTGTGCATGTACTGACATGTGCACTTGTGCGGGTACAGAATTTTCACTACATTTTCAAAGGAATCTATAACCTAAATGACTAAGAATGATAGCTCCATTCCATGCTCCTGGACCACCAAACAACACAGGCTGAGGCAATCAAAACACAGCCACACTTGCTAAGCTTCTTTGTGAAAAGAAGTCTAGCTCAAGTCTCCCCTTAACTCCCCATCCTACCAGGCCCCACATTGTATGCCCAAATGCAACCCTTTTAACTCAGCTGCTAAGCAGCAGTAATGCCAAATATATCAGTGTTTAACCCCTTAGCCAAATGACTCCAACGCTTTCCTTGGTTGAGATGAGATGGTGGCTCAAAGTCCCGACCAGAAAGAAAAAGGTGGTAGGAAAATCACAGGCTTGGAGAATTGAACCCACAGTACTAAAGCTTCAATTCTTCCAGTCTGAGTCAGACCACGGGAGAATTCCCTCTCAGACTATTCCTCCAAAGGGTACTTCAGTGGACAAGAGAAGGTTGGGGACAGCCAAAAACATGCCAGGGGTCTCTGTAACTTCTTATGGATAAATCTACCTAAAATCTGTTTGTTTTTTAAGGTTACCTTCACCACCTCCTAAAATAACAGGTCCCAGAACACTACCAACCTGCAAAACCAGTGGTTCTCAACCTTCCTAATGCCGCAATGTATTTTCACTGTTAAAAAGGGGTCACGACCCACGGAAGAACTTTCTTCTAAGCTTCCCCTTCACAAACTTGAATTATAAGGGTTTTCCTTGACTCAAACCTTTCACGACTTCAGAAACATGGATTGTGTCCCCTTCCAGAGCCAGGAGAGTTCATTGTCTTTAGTCTGTTTTCAAATGAAGACCTCTTCCTTCCCTCCCCACTCCCAGAAGCCCCCCCCTCCCCCCGCCCCGTGCTGTCCTAACACTTCTTCATGAAAATGTGTGGACTCAGAGTGAGGACGGTTGATTCAGTTTAGGTTCAAGACAACAGGGCTGAATATAAGACTAGAACAACCACTTCTAAGACTTTTCTCAGTAAGACTCAGGACTCCACTAAACCTTTTGGCTACAGCAGCATTTCGGCAGCACTCCAGCTACCCTGTTCTCTGTGCACTCAAAAGGGCACACTTTCAATGCCCACCCTCCTTCCTCTCTCTTCCTCTCTAGATAGCTTTGATTTCAAAAAATATTTTTAGTCCTCTGAGATGTCCTCCTGTCAGATTCACAATTATCATCTTCTATGGCACTTCCCCAGATGTTTATTTTGCTAACCTGTCCTAATTATCATAATAATACACTTTTCATCACAGTTTGTGCTCCGGTAAGACCAAACTTGACTGCATAGGCACATGCAATCTATTAGTTAAAAAAAGAGAGAAAAACCAAAAAACCCACTGATCAAACAGGTCAAGCCATGGCCAATCTGAAATGAACAGGCAGGACTTTACAGAGTTCAGGCGGGTCAGAAAGAACGTGGTGAGTGTAACACAGCCACAGTATTTTGCAGATACTCCCATAGGAGATGAGATCTATTTCTCCTCCCCTGGAATTGGCTTTGAATTCAATCTGCTTGGAATAGAATGCGCTGGAATGGCAGCTGTGAGTTCTAGACTGGCTTCTGCCTTTGTCTGACTGGCCTGTTCCCATTGCCACATACAGAAGCCTCAGCCAGGCGGGTGAATGCAGACAGACCACCTGGAGAGAAGCCTAGCAGATGCCTGGCACCAAGGCCCCACCCCGAGAGAGGCCGCCCTATGCCCTCTGTGTAAACAGCTGCCAGCTCCTATGGCTACTGGAGCAAGTCCAGGCAGGGCCAGCAGCAGCAGCACCTAATCCAGAGAACTGAGAAAAGGACAATGGTTATTGTGGGAGCCCCTACGTTTGGGGGTGGCTTATTCCACAGCAAGAGAGAAATGACGCAAAGCAGCAGACCGGGAGCTGAGAGCTGCCACTCACCTATGGCTTTGGCTAAGAACCTGATGCTGTTGAGATTCTTCACTTCAGTCCGAATGCCCAGAGGCTCCCCAGGGCGATGCACGGACACGTTGGCATCCACTCTCAACTGGCCCTCTGGAAGGTGAGAAAAAAAAGAAATTCTTTGAAGCAACACGGTGTTTTCTAAAGCAGGAGAATGTGAAAGCAAGCATGTCTGACATTACGTGCTATTTAGTTACAGTGATCTGGCTTCAGAGAAGGCTTGGCGGGCTCTGGGGCACACGGCTCTGCCCACCTGAGAGCAGGTGCAGTCCGAAGGCACCTGAGCTGTGTCCGTGCATGCATGTACTGATGTGTGCACTTGTGCGCGTACAGAAGAGGAGTGAAGTTCTGGATATGCCAGCTGGGAGGATCTAATTCCTTTTGTACTAAATAAGAAAAACAACACTATAAAAATGGAGATTTATTCTGCAGTTTTATTCTGAAGGTTTTTTTCAAAGTGTCAGAGCTGGGTTGGGAGGAAGGCCTCCAGAATGATTATCTGATACCCTTACACTGCTGTCCAATGAAATGTGAATTTCTAACAGCGGTTCCAGGAGATCTGTAAGAGAGTCCTTGAGAATTTACAGCTCAAAGGTAAGAACTGAAACCTGGGCTTTCCCCCTCCTCCCTCCTCTGGGTGCTATAATATCTCTTCCTTCCACAAACACAACTCTTAGTCTTTCCTGATGGCTGCAAGGATCTGCAGCAGCAGAAGGACAGTGTTGCTATGAAGCAGGGAGTCTGCGGTGGCCTTGGGAGAGGGGCTGACCACAATCCGGGAGCACCTTCCCTGAGCCCGAAAGCCCCTCAGATTAGGGGCAGCAACTCCAGCAGCAGGTAATACGGGGAGAGGGCTAAAAGGCTCTAGAGAAGCAGCCAGAGGCAAAAATCCCAAGACAAATCAACGAAGAAACAATCCACATGTGAGTCTTATAAAGCAACATTCAGATCCTCTGTTCTCTAATTTCATTGCCACTAAAATGCTGAATTTTTATTTCCTAGGTAAGTTGTTAAATTAAAAAGTAATCTGCTGACCGGACGCTGTGGTTCATGCCTGTAATCCTAGCACTCTGGGAGGCCGAGGTGGGTGGATTGCCTGAGCTCACGAGTTCAAGACCAACCTGAGCCAGAGTGAGACCTCGTCTCTAAAAATAGCCGGAGAGTGAGACCTTGTCTTTAAAAATAGCCAGACCTTATGGTAGGTGCCTGTAGTCCCAGCTACTTGGGAGGCTGAGGCAAGAGAATTGCTAATTAAGCCCAAGAGTTTGAGGTTGCTGTGAGCTATGACAGCACAGCTCTCTACTGAGGGCAACAAAGTGAACCTCTTCTCCAAAAAAAAAAGTAATCGGCTCGGCGCCTGTGGCTCAAGCGGCTAAGGCACCAGCCACATACACCTAAGGTGGTGGGTTTGAATCCCCAGCCCGGGCCCGCCAAACAATGATGGCTGTAACCAAAAAATGGCCGGGCGTTGTGGCGGGCGCCTGTAGTCCCAGCTACTTGGGAGGCTGAGGCAGGAGACTCGCTTGAGCCCAGGAGTTGGAGGTTGCTGTGAGCTGTGATGCCATGGCACTCTACCCAGGGGGATAGCTTGAGGCTCCATCTAAAAAAAAAAGAAAAAGTAATCTGCAAAACCTGAGTGTCTTGATGGGCTGAATAAATTTATTTTCCAAGATTACCCAGCAATAGTGTATTAATAAATAGTGCAAATATATTCCATGCCAAGGACAGGAGACCTTTGGGACTGGTTCTCTGTCACCTTCCCAGTGCTAAGTTGCAGGGCTCAAGCCTGCACCAACTTCCAGACCGCTCCTCTCACGCCCTGCACGGCTCCACTCGGCACTCAGACAGGCCAGGAAAAGGTGCCTCTCAGCTCAGAAATTACACTGGCTGTATCTGCTGTATCTGTAGCACCAACTTCTTGACATTTTTACAATTCTCTAGCCTCTTATTTTTAATCATCTTTTGGACAAGCTGTGCTTTTCTGAACCTCAAGAACTTCCAACTATTCCTGATACTATCACACTCTTGTTCTGGGAACACTGTCACCTTCCACTTCTCTGTTCTCTTTGCCCCTTAAATACAGACTGACAATTGCAGCCTATCAGACCTTCCCTCCATCTTTCCCTCGTATCTGTCACTTCCTTTCCATTTCCAGTGCTGCTGCCCTCACTCCAGGTCTCTGAACTGCAGGCCTGGGTTACATCCTGACTCACCATGGCAACAACTCTCATCCAGTCACCCACAACATGGCTGTGACTTTTATCTTGCTACAATACACTTTTCATCGTTCCTGTTGCTTACTCAAGCACGTGGCAGCTTTCTGTACAAAACTCCTTGCCCCTGCTTTAAGGTTTGTTATTACCTTCTCCTGAAACCTTCATTTTTAAGGTAGCCTCCACCAGTGGGTCCTCTGCACTGCCAGGAGATACACAACCTATACTCCCCAATTTAGGCCACGGCTCTAGTCTGTTGTTATCTTTAGGACCAGAGTGGAGAGTCACCGAGGACTGGGCTTCTTGCCTTCTTTAGGACATAATTCTTTCAGTTATCCTCTCTCCTCCACCCCAGGCATTAATCTCGTTCCCAGCATTCCCTCTGTTCTATACACATGCAATTTTGAAAAAAAAAAGAAAATCTCAAAACCTATTAACTTGACCCCAATTCTCAATCCACCAGTCATTTTGCTATAGGTCCTCCGGTTTCCTTTCCAGCGGTTTCTCAAGTTTGTTTGCACATACCAGCTCCACTGTCTCACCTCTCACCTATTCCTAAACACACCTCAGCCTGGCTTCTGTCCCACCTTTCTGAAAATGCCCTTTCTGTCCCACCTTTCTGAAAATGTCAGAATCACCAACAAACTCCTGGCTGCCAGATCCAAGGGACATGGGACATGTTTGTCTTCACTTTACTAGATACCTAAAACAGCATGTGACATATCAACTAATCTTTCCTTCTTATTTATTTTTTTTTACAGGCAGGGTCTTGCTTAGTCACCCATGCTAGGTGCGGTGGTGCAATCATAATTTGTTGTAACCATGAACTCTCCAACTCAGCCTGGGCAGCCCCTACCCCCAAAAGCTGTACCATCACACCTGGCTAATTTTAGGAAAATGTTTTGTGGAGACAAGCTCTCACTAAGTTGCCCGGGTTGGTCTTGAACTCCTGGCCCCAAGTGATCCTCTCCTCTTGGCTTCTAATCCTGCCTTCTTGAAATGTCTTCCTATCCCAGGTTTTCTGGCCTTTTGTTCTCTTGGTTTTCCTGGACATTATTTCCA